GGCAAATAAGCATATGAAAATATGTTTTACATCACGTGTCACCAGAGAAATTCAAATTGAAACAACAATGAGATACCACTACACACCTATTAGAATGGCCCATATCTAGAACACTGACCACTCCAAGTACTGATGAGCTTGTGGGGAAACAGAAGCTCTCATTAATTGCTGGTGGGACTGCAAAATGGTACAGCCCCTTCGAAAGACACGTGGGTAGCTTCTTACAGAGGTTGTACACTCTGACCATNTACTAAAGACACAGTCCATGAAAGAAATAACTGATAAGCTGAGCTTCACTAAAATTAGAAACTTCTGTTCTGTGAAAGACACTATCAAGAGACTTTTAAAAGACAAGCCACAAAGATGAGGCAGGTGTTCCAGGGTTACGGGGACCGAAAGTCCGTGACTCACTGTGGGTTCTTGGCTTTGCACAGGAAAGAATTCAAAGACAAGCCAGCACAGAGTTTAAGCTGAACAAGAGTTTATTATAGTGAGACAGAGAGTGGCTACTCCACAGACAGAGCAGTCGCTCTCTAGTGGGATTTACTTCTTTTATGGAGGCTCATTTAATTGAGGGCTAGGGCATTCAATAAGGGGGAGGAATACTTAGGATTTTTCTGGGAAAGGGGTGGAGACTTCTCAGAAGAGCCTTGTTGCCTTGGTTGTGTTGTGTCCTTATATGGGCCTTTTCATTTCCAATCCTGGTGACTCTGGGTGTGTCATTTAGTGTGCTAATGTATTATAATAAGCATTTAATGAGGCTAGAGGTTACCACAAGGTGAAATTAGTCACCATGGTGGCTCCAGCTGGTCTTCTGCCAGCTCTAAGCCATAAATCAGTTGGAGGCTGGTCTTACTATTTCCTTGATAGTCCTTGTAGCCCTTATTTATTACAGCTGGTTCGTCACATACCCTGTCTCAGATTGGGACAAAATATTTGCAAAAGATATACCTGATAAAAGACTTATTTAGAGTACACAAAGAACCCTTACAACTCAACAATAGAAAACAACCTGATATAAAAATAGGCCAAATACCTTAACAGAGAGCTCACCAAACAAAGATACACCGATGGCAAATAAGCATATGAAAATATGTTTTACATCACGTGTCACCAGAGAAATTCAAATTGAAACAACAATGAGATACCACTACACACCTATTAGAATGGCCCATATCTAGAACACTGACCACTCCAAGTACTGATGAGCTTGTGGGGAAACAGAAGCTCTCATTAATTGCTGGTGGGACTGCAAAATGGTACAGCCCCTTCGAAAGACACGTGGGTAGCTTCTTACAGAGGTTGTACACTCTGACCATGCAATCCTGCAGTCACGCTTCTTGGTATTTACCCAAAGGAATTGAAAACTTACGTCCACACAAACTACTGAACAGATGTTTATAGTTGTTTTGTTCATAATTGCTGGGCTTTGAAGCAACTAAAATACCCTTCGATAGGTGAATGGATAAATATTCAGACAATGGAATATTACTGAGTACCAAAAGGAAATGAGCTATCAAGCAATGAAAAAACATGAAGAAAACATAAATACCTCCTCCCCCCACTCCTCCTTCTTCCTCGCCTTCTTCGAGTTTTGGAGTAAGGAAAGGTTTATTGGTCGAGAAGACCTAGTCAGAGAAAATGGGAGAACCAATTCTCACATCCATCTTAAGAGAGCGTCTTATATATCAAGGGCAGGGAGGGTAGGTGAGGTGAGGAGGAGGGGACTGTAGACAGCCAGGCAAAGGAAAAGGGGTCCAAGGAAAAGTGGGAAATATTCAAATCCCTTTGTTCCTGGTTGACCCCCACTGATCTGAGCGTGGTTCTAGAGTCACTACTTTGTGCATATTTCCCACCTCTTCACTGACAAAGAGGCCACTCAAGCCTTTCTCAGAATTCCTCTAGTTTATTTGCGTATCTATCGCAGGAGCTACCAGCCTGAAGGCCACCGGAGAGAGGAAGCTTTTCACTGTTACATTTCCCCTCTTTAATCTTGATGATGGATATAGGACAACGGGGTCCATGTTCAATTAAGAGGAGTCAGATCTGTCTACCTACCCATATGCCCTTCTTTTTTGGCTCTTACAATTTCATATGCCTGCCTCTCTGAGATGGTCCCCGAGCCTTAGAGGAGGCCTTGTGGGTGTTCATTTTACAAGCAGAGACCACAGCAGGCCTAGAAGAAGCAGGCCAGGATACCTGTACCCTAAGTAATAATCAGAGCAGACCATAAGTTAGTCTCTGAACCTGTAAGGCTGCCAGTCGAGGCGACCTTCAGATGAAAGGCTCAGAGCTTCGTTTTTGCTGGAACGAAGGCAGGCAGTGACGATCTGACAGATTCCCTTGGTTCCCAGTCAAACCATCCCTGAGGATGTCATCAGGTGCTCAAGCAAGCTCTCTGTGTGGCTTATACAGCATCAGTCATCAAAACTGCCCAAGCATGAGCTGCTGTAATGATTTCTCCAAATTTACATTGTCATCTAGGGGCAGTCTGCAGTTGCAAGACTCAGAAAAAAATAGTGTTAGTTCTCAATAATTCCAAGGCAAAAGATGGGAGAAATTTAAATCACTAGCTCAGAGGACTGAAGCCAAACACTTTCACTAAAAAAATTCAGGATCCAGTCCAGTCCACAGGTGAAAAATAAAACTTTAAAGACAATTAACCAAACTAGAATCTAATATCCATAAATGGGCATTATGGCTTCCACGGAAATAATTTTTCTCTCTAAAATCACCCTCATTTTATCAAAGATAGCCAAGTTAAAGCCTAATTCATTGCATGAGTCTAGTTTCAATAAATTTGATCTGTTGTTTGTGTAAGTATGACAAGAATAGCAACTGATCATATAGATTCTTTTAAATCTGTTTTGCTGGAATTTCATTAGGAATTTCCACCTTGAACCTTAATTAGCCTCTTGAGGCTTAGAAGTAGAGCCACATAATTGCCATCATCATTTGCCTGCAATATTATAGATTTGGATCAATTTCTCAGGTTCTCAAAGTCCCCCCAAAATGTCCTGAGGTTCTTCCTTTGTCATCTCCCAGGAAAGCAGCATTCATCCCTTACCTGGAAAGACCCTGTGAACCATGTAATCAGGTTGCCAGGCTGTTTTCCAAGGGCTTTTATTGGCCTCCAAAGTCAATCTCAATTCCTTAGTTAAATGCGTACCTCTGAGTGAAAGAAGCCAATCTGAGAAGGCCACATACTGTGATTTCAACTACATGACATTCTGGAAAAGGCAAAACTATGGAGACAAGAAAAGATCAGTGGTTGCCAGGAGGCAAGGTGGGGGTGAGATGAATGAGCAGAGCACAGAGAACTTCTAGGGCAGTGAAAATACTTTGTATGATGCTATAGTGATGGATATATGTCATTATACATCTACTAAACCCATTGCGTATACAGTACCAAGAACAAACCCTTAGGTAAATTATAAACTCTGAGTAATTATGATGTGTCCATAAAGGTACATCCTGGTGAGTGATGTTAATAATGGGAGGACTATGCATGTGAGAGCAGGAGGTATATGGGACATCCATGTACCTTTTACTCAATTTTATCTTAAACCTTAAACTGCTCTTTAAAAAGTTAAGTCAATAAAAAATGGGGAGGGGGGAAATAAAAAGGCCTCGAGACCTGAGTTCAAATTTTGTCACTGCCTTTTACTAGGTGCAAGATATTGGACAGTTCTCCAGGTCATTTTGCATGTTCCCTGCTCTGTAAAATAGCTACTTAAGAGATCTTTCTCCACTACCATAGGAAGGAAGAAGGGTAATGTGGAAGCAGATAGAAGATGCCTTTTTTGGTCGCAGGAAGCTAAAGAGGTTCCCATCTGATGGCTTCTCTTTTCTCAGTGAGGTAGGGCCCAGGATCACTGACGGGGCAGGAGGTGCAGTTGGAGAACTGGAGGTGTGAGGAGAGCAGAGAGGATTTAAAATAGTTGCTGCAAAAGTGAAAGAGGAATGTAGTAAGATTACCCTCACAAACTAGTAACACAATAAATATTTTCTGAATAAATAAAGAAGGAATAGCTTAAAATTTTTTTAAAGTTGTATCAGAATTTTATGATTAAAACAAAATGAGCTATACGTGTGAAATGCACAATACAAATATAAAACAAGATTATGATGAAAGTCAATGGTTAGTAAAATGATTTACTTACCAGATATTTGCTTCGGGTTTTCTAAACTGTAGATGCCTTATCTCAGTGAGACCACTTTAAGTATTTGCACATGGATCACTAATATTCCTATACAATTCAGTCTAATGGCTGGATAGCAGGATAATTTACCACACTTCTGAAGATCATCAGGGCTAAGCAATTGTTAAATTTACCTCAACCTGGAAAAGATAAGAGAATGCATTTTTTTTTAAGTGGCATTTTCCTGTAGCCAACAGAGGAGAGTGTAAGAAAACGAGCTGGCAAAAGAATGTTCGATTAAGGATAGATTCTGTAGGTGACCTAGAAAAGGGAGTTATCTGCACAGGATGTGGGCAAGATTATTGCAAAAGTCCTTTTTCCTACCCAACAGCAGGCAGGGCAGGACTATATGAAGTGCCACTAGACTTTTCTTCAAAGACTCAAAGAGCTTATCCTCTCGGCACCCCCAACCCCACTTCCATCCCAATAAAAACTTTGCCTGGCATCCCAGCATCAGGGAAATTAACCTCGGTGGAAAAAATAAATTCTTACCTCTCATCCCAACTCTCAACAAGAATGCCATAGCTGTTTCTTGTGAGCACTGCAGTCTTGTTTGACAATATAATGAGGTCTGGCTAAACAGATGAAAAATGCCTTAACCTGAGTGTTTATCTCAGCCCTGCCAAGGCTTTCAGCCCCCCAGGCACTCCCATCTCTGCAGAGAGGGTCAGAAACCTCAGTTGCAGCCCATGGCTCTGAGCTGGCGTCTTGCTACACCAAGCCACTTTTGCAAGAGCAGAAGGCAGGAGTTTCTGTCAGTTTGAATTTCCTGAAATGCACTGGCCTGTGTCACGATCTCCATGGTGTCTGGGGGCAGTTTGTTCTGTCAAATCCCTGGAATAGAATGAGAAGAGAAAGGGAAAGTAAGCGCAAGCAAAGCAGGTTGGAAAGTGTTGCTCAAAAGTGGCCACCTAGGGCAGGGCTGGATGTGTCGGGGCTGGGACCCTGCCCATGAATAAACCTAAGAAGACTTCCTCTCAAGGTTCTAGAGACTCAAACACATAATCTAGGCAGAGTCTTAATTCAGGTGACACACCAGCCATTCCTTTCAAGTGAAGTCTACAGAGAACATAGTGAAAGGAGATTGAAAAAGTATCCAATTAATGCAAACAAGGATAATTTTGAATGAAAATCACAATTTAACATATAAATATTTATATGACTACTTTGACCCATTCGATGATTTCTAACCCATCCACCTTGGAGTTTTGCTTTCTAACCAGATCTTTGTCTCTCTCTAGCACAAACCCTTAACACTTGTCACACTGCATTATAGTTGTCTATTGACATGGTTTACCCCAACCTTACTGAGCTCCTTGAAAACAAGGAACTGTCATCTGCCACAGACCTTGGCTCTTTGCTTTAGATGGTCAGCATATATACCATAATTGAATGAATAAATAAATAGAATAGACTAAAGGTATTTGAGAAAAAACACAAAAAATATGCCATAAGGGTAGCACTTTGGAATCTCCAGGAACTACTGCAAGAACAGATTATCATGCATGCTTACCAAATATATTCCAAATAAAGGGGGTTTTCCCACCCCAGTGCAATTTCCCCAACTGCTTTAGAGAGAAATCAGCTATATCTCCACTTTCCCTTCCAGGGCTGGGACATTGTCATTCAGTTGTTAATTTACCTGTGCTTCCCCTACCTAGAGCTGATTTTACAAAGGATCAACTGATGTCCAAGGAGACTCTTGAAGGGATAAAAAGATAACAATATAACTAGATATTCAGAAGGTTTGTAGGAAATATTTAAGCATTACATTTACCTGGTATTTATTTTCTTCCAGTGGTTCATTTTATTTTAGAATGTATTACATTATATTAGATTGGAATGAATTGATTGGATTGGAATGGATTGGATTAGAATGGATTGGATTGGATTGGAATGGAATGAATTGAATTGGAATAGTTCGAATTAGATTGGAATGGAATGGAATGGAATGGAATGGAATGGAATGGAATGGAATGGAATGGAATGGAATGGAATGGAATGGAATGGAATGGAATGGAATGGAATGCATTGGATTAGATTAGATTGGAATGGAATGGATTGGATTGGAATGGGTTGGGTTGGATTGGATTGGATTGGATTGGATTGGATTGGATTGGANTTGGATTAGATTAGATTGGAATGGAATGGAATGGATTGGATTGGAATGCGTTGGGTTGGATTGGATTGGATTGGATTGGATTGGATTGGATTGGATTGGGTTGGATTGGATTGGATTGGATTGGATTGGATTGGATTGGATTGGGTTCCCACTACAATATTTGCTTCCACGTGTCACCTCCTCCACTAGAGTATAAACTCCTTAAAGGCAAAGAAGGGCCTTGAGTTTTTACCTATCACAGTGCTTGGCACATAGCAGTTACCTGATATTTGCAGAATAAATAAGAGTTATTTGGGAACAAGCCCAAAAGGATCTAAGGTATACCTATCATTTATATTTGGCCTTGTCTTCCTTTGAGGTGGATGATGTTGCTCTTTGTTATCTTTAATAAGGCTAAACACTGTAATTTAAGAGCATACGATAAACCTTAAGCGCCTTGTGTGAGGTTTTTGTGTTTACTTATTTTGAGAGGTTTTACATTCTTTTGTAAGCGTGCATAATTAAATGAATACCAAATACATCAATTTTCAATTTATAAATAAGTAAATAGACAATAAATTGCATAAATGGCCTTCCCCAAATGGCAGATTGCCCAACACCCAAGGGAGCCACATCTGAAATATAAAAAGAAAGCCTACAGCAGAGAACAGGATGCAATAAAGAGAGGAGGGAAACCAAACAGTGGAATCGAACAGGGTGAGAGGCAACATTGGCAAGAACAAAGGAGGTGTATGTTAGTTCTAGCATTTTCCACAAAGGTGGAAGTAAAATACAGCTGCCAGTTCCTCAGAAAATTGAGATGTCCCTTTTAAAAATGATCTCTCCCGTTATCATTGGGGCAGCTCGTGTCTCAGGGGTCCTTAACCTTCTGCCCTCCATCCCTAACCCTGGGGCTTGGGGAGTATCTCTCTAAGAGACTAGCTTCCAGAGGGGGTCAGTATTTCCTCTTAAGAGCCCCCAGAGCAAATGACTGAACAGATTAGGACGGATTAGACAGATAACAACTCAGACCCTTTTACAAGCACATTTTTCACTTGACACTCAAATTCCCTCCTGTGCCCCACAGTCTCACACAACCCAACGACTGGATAGTATTACTGAAATATCTTTGCGCCAGCCGAGTGCGTGGAGCTGTGCAAAGCCAGATGTTCTTGTAACCCTGTTTTACTGAGTTATTTATATCCATATAATATTTGACATTTCCTGTGTTGTTAAAGAGTTGGGGGCCCTTGACGTATTTTTAAGAGAACAGTGCCGGCTTTTCATTTTTTTCTTTGATGCCCAGCACCAGAAATAAGTAATATAGAGAAGGGTCGTATTAAACAGATGCTGAGATATCTAAAGTCTACCTTATTTTAATGCCTTTCATCTTAAATGATCTTCATGAACAGAAAGATGTTAGAATTAACGTTCAATAAAAGCACAAGCCCATGGGCCTAAAGTAAGTCAGCCAATAGACAAAGAAAAACTTTCCAATAAATATTGAAAGAATAATCCACATTTCTAGGACTAAACTTTATTGATACATGAACTGAATCTTATCTTTGAACTTGACAGATATGAAAAGGGCTGGTTAAAATTTTTCCAGCTTAGTAAAGTATTATCTGGCAGATTTCTCTGGCTAAATGAAATAATGGAAACTTTATAGACTTGAAAGTATTTGGTTGAGCTTAAGCGGTAAGAATATTTAAACTGTATATGAAACTTGATATCCTAGAAGGCCATCGTTCTGTTTTCTTTGTTTATTATAGGGATCTATTCACAAACCATTTTTTTTATTTTAAGATTTCCAAATTTTAGAAAAGTTTCCCCTTTATAGGATATGACAGGAGAGGGGTCCTGGTTTACATTCAATTCTTGATACCTCCAGCTGCCCAACACTGAAAACCACACAGGAGAAATAAGATGTGAATTAGTTGGGGTCTCTTTGGTATTCAAAGCTGTTTTATAAATTTTCTCAAAACTCTCCTGTTAGTGTTTTTTTTTTTTTTAAGATCAGCTTTCTTTTCTAAAAGCGGGGGACATATGAATGCCATTGTGCAGAGAAACTTCCAAAATACATCCAGTCTTCCACCGTGTCTTACCCCATTCTGTACCNTTTTTTTTTAAGATCAGCTTTCTTTTCTAGAAGCGGGGGACATATGAATGCCATTGTGCAGAGAAACTTCCAAAATACATCCAGTCTTCCACCGTGTCTTACCCCATTCTGTACCCCTCCCGGACCCTCCCTCTGAATCCGAGGCCCCTCCTCACAAAGCAAGAGCCCAAGTAAGCCTCCTGCTCCAAGGCAGCAGTCAGATCCCTTGCAAATCCTCTAAGCTGTGAGAAGTCACTAATCTCCAAGCAGTGGACAGACCTTGGAGCAGATAGGTCAGGACGGCCCTCCACCTACAGGCTGGCACGTCTGTGTCACCGGTTCCCCAGCCCCTCACCACCAGTCACAGCAGATTCTGCTCCGAATCCTCCCAGGATTGCTCCCCTGCAACCACCGGGATGGGGAGTGGCATCTGGGAGGCCAGCGTGGCCTGGACCAGGGTCTTATTCTGGACCTGCATCTCCCAGATTCTTCTAGACCCTTGTGGGGCCACCAGTCTCTGGCTCCCAAGTCAAGGTCTTTTCCACCTCCTGCATTCTTGACAGTTTTCCTCCTACGCATATTCACCCACCACTCTTTCTTTGAAAGTCTCTGGATTTTTTGTTTCCCTCAACATATGTTGTCCATCTCTGCTTCTTTCGTATTTACCCCAGAACCTTCTTCCTGCTGCCACTGGTAAACTCTCATTCTAGAAAATCTCCATGAGGAGACGCCTTAGTTCGCTTGGACAACAGTCCAAAGCTGTTGGCCACCGTGTTTGAGTAGAAGGGGAAAGGATTCTGTTCACAGTCTGCACACCCAGCATATTCCCGCGGCAGCACCCCCTTTCCCCAGGGATCAATTTGGGCACCAAACGCAATCCTCTGTTTCATCAGGTGCCTTTGTTGAAACAGAGGCTCAAGACATTCCTCCAGGAAAACCCAGCCCTTTCTTCAAAGTTATAATTAATTCACCTGGTCGGAGCCTGGAGTTTTGAAACAAAGGTCCCAAGGTTTGACTTTGGGGCGGGCAAGTACATTTCACATAAAGACTTTCATGGCCACAAATAATCCCACAAATAATCCCACTTCTCCAAGAAAACTGGGCTAACAGGTGTGGATAACTTAAGATAATCCATCACCACCACGTGGAAAACAAGCAAACAAAAAAATAGCATACTGGGGCTGGTAACAGCACAATTCCTAAATGTGAGAACCGTGTGTTTCAGTCTAAAGAATGGTACCCACCCAGATAACGGAGGGAACAAATGATGCGGATTCCGGAGGAGCTAGGAGCCGTCCCTAGACAGCATCACAGATTCTCGCGTGTGAGAACTGGAATAAGGAAAGATAAGAGCCTGGCACGGTGTGTGCCGTGTACTAAGCACTCTGCTTGATGGCTGGAACCGCCATGGCTACTAGATCAGGGCCGGGGGAAGCCTCGTCTTCCAACAGAGACGTGGAGGCACAGAGAGCAAACAGCCGCCTGCGGCCGGGCCCAAGCCCACCTCTGCCGCCCCTAATCTCTACTCTCAAAGCAAATACTACCAGAGAGGCCAAAGCAGCCACCGCTCGCCTCCCAAGCCCCATCCTCTGAGCAGAACATTTAGAAATGCTTCAGAAACAAACAGCCAGCCAC